ATCTACAAGCCTATTTCTTGATCGCCTGATAGTCTGATGAAAAGCAAACATCACAACGGCGACCATTTAAGCGCCATAAAGATCAAATTTTAGACAGTAATTATTAACCTGGGAGGAGCGCTTAGAAATTTGATCAGGCCATGTAAATGAAGTGTGCTTGCTGGAAAGGGTGACCGTTTTAGATTGTTCTGCAAAACGCGCTGTCTTCGTGTTAGGTACCAAAGATTTCTAGCGGAAATGAAAGAACAAGGGAGAACAAATTGTCTCGAGCAGAGCGCTCCGATTAGCGCTTTCAGCACTGCTGATTTGCTGCAAAACCGGGTGGAAATCGGCGGGGCAGATGTGGAGAAGAGAGCTGTTTGCCTTCAGAAACAGATTGGTTTAATGGGAAGCGTGTCCTTAATCGTTGGCACTATGATTGGTAGTGGGATCTTTGCTTCGGCCAGTGGCGTATTTATCAATGCAGGTTCGCCTGGCTTAACTCTGATTGTCTGGGCAGGATGTGGCGTCATCGCCATGTTGGGTGCTCTGTGTTATGTGGAGTTAGGTACAGCGATTCTGAAATCCGGCGCGGAGTTCACCTACATCTTGGAAGCATTCGGTGGTCTGGCTGCGTTTTTGTTCAGTTGGACATCGGTTACACTTCTCAGGCCTTCACAAATGGCCATTATTGCTCTTGCTTTTGGACAGTATGTTGTAGAGCCATTTTTTCCGGCATGTCAAGGTTCGGATCGGCAAGACTTGAATATACTGGTGAAGTTGTTGGCGGCTTTTTGTCTTGGTAAGGGCTTCCGACTATTCCTTTTCACAAATGAGACACAAAATTTGTTTTTCCAACGTGAGAGGCGGCGATTAGTCAATTATGTTTCTGAAATTTAATCTTCACGGGGGAGGGAGGTCTTATCTACACCAGCACAAAAGTTGTTTATTTTGACAAATTGTTCTGTCAATCACCAACACTCAACAGGTGCGCATGGTTTGTCGCGACTTGACGTATTTTGGCCGAAGCGGACAAATGTTTTTAATGACGCAATGCTCACAAAATTTGTTTTGGGTAAAACTGGACAAAATTGACTAAATAAACAAACTAAGCCGTGCTAAACTTTTCGATCATTTGTCGTGAAAGTAACCACCATAAACTAGGAAGGAACTAAATGTTTTTTTTTTGTTGCGAAACTTGTGGGTTTTATGAGCTTTTATCCCTTTACACCCTAACATCAGTATGCACATTCTCCACACTGATATTTATACATTTCCTAGGCTGCTGGCAAGGAGAATTTGATTAACAATCAAGAGCTTCTCCAGTTGGTGATCATTTCCTATATTCTCATGATCACAAATGAATGATTCAGCAGTATTATGGTCAGGAGAAACTAGATGCTAGTCACTCTTAGGGTTTAGAGGGTTAAGCGACTTGAGATGAATCCTGGTATTAGAAGTTTGAACCATTGGCAAACAATTTCGCAAGCTAGTAATATGGTTCTTAACTCAACTTCTTGATTGGAACGATTACTCAGCTAACCAAGGCTAGAGTTGTCTTTGATAAGTTTAGCACTGCTCATTGTTCTCCGTTTGCGCGGTGAAAATTGTTCACAGCTGTCTTTCCCATACTTCTTTCTCGTTCCTTGTTGAACGCTTCCTCTCTGGAGAAACATCATCTCTTGAATGGCGTATTTGTTTGACAGTGGCGTAAACAGTTGTATTGCTGGGTTTTTTTTTTTTCATGTGTCCTTTCGAGCAAGATTGCTAGAAGATACACTCAAATATATTGCTTAAAAGGTTCTTTTCTTCTTAAACTCCACGAGTACCCAGCAACAAATTGAAAGAATTTGGTTGCATCGGAAAATTTTTGTGTTTGTGAATGGAAGTATCACGATTTTCTCTCGTTGTGTCCTAATTTGTTGCCAATCTTACTGAACATGAAAGCCTCGAACTGAAAATCAATACACAAAACCTTTCGAGGATTATTCCAACTTCAGTTGCGCCTCTTGCCCACACCAAAACCCGTTTTTTAGCCAATTACTACCCGCAAGCGCCTACGTGTATAAACAAAAGAATCGGAATCATTCTTCTTCCTTAAGTTTTTGAATGTTTGCAATGGCTTTTGTAGCACAAATTATTGTATTTTGTCACTGCCAATGAGGAAATCCTCTTGGGTTTGCATGTTTAAAAAATCCATTCACGAAAAAAGAGGTTATAGTCGAAACACCGTAGAAAATATGTATTTAACTTGTCACAAGAACCACAGCATCTGACCACAATAAAAACTCCGAAACTTCTTAAAATTCTAAACACAGGGGTAACAAATTTGCTCGAACCAAAGCTCAAAATAACTAAAAACAATTCACTAAAAACATGCAACAAAAGCACGCAAAAAATATCCACGTAAGTTTAAGGTTAGAGTTCTTTGACTTGATTGGCGAAATTGTGAAATCTCGCTTCCCGTGCGTGAATACAAAAATAATACATCTGAAGAGCGCTGAAGCATTTTGGGTATGAGAAAATAGCTACAACTCAGACTGTTGGAGAAACAAGCAAATTATTCCTTGATAATAATTTAATGTTTATCTTGTCTAAATTACTCTCGTTTCGTTTCAGGAATCATCATGTTCGTGAATATTGCAAGTGTAAAATGGGCCTCGCGTATGCAAGTTATCTTCACAGTTTGTAAAATGGTGGCTATTGTTATGCTTATTATTACTGGCCTCGTTCGCCTTGGTCAAGGTAAGATGGCTCATTGGTAACTTGGTCATCCACCTTTTTATGCGCGGTTGGTGTTTCTTTCTTTTATTTCTCATTGGCTGCGTATAATTCTTTCCTTTGTGATGACTGGTTGTTGTTATTTCTTAGTCTCAGAATACCCACACGACAGACACTCTACTTGATCCTTTTTAAAGGATAATACCCCTAAGAGTGACTAGCATCTAATTTCTCTTTACAATATCACCCCTTAATCACACATTATGGTCATGAGAATTAAAACAAATGATACAAATTCTTCTTGTCAGCACCATGGGAGATGTGTATAGAAAGGTTTGGAGAATTTGCATGCTAATGTTATGGTTTAAAGTATTAGTCGCCACTCTTTGAGTAGCCTTCATATGGATTATCGGCTGTAGAAGCCGTTACTTCATTAAGAGGCTTCCGACCAATCAAAACGCTGGTATCTCCTCAATTTGCAGCAGGCTGCCAGCATGTCAGTTGAGAGTATTTACGTCACCTTTGTTCAACGTAACATTTTTTTGCAGGTTTTACTGAGAGTTTTGATAACTCCTTTCATAAAACAACGAGTAACATCGGTTTGGTAGGATTCGCATTTTACAACGGACTTTGGGCTTATGACGGCTGGTGAGTTGCTTACTTTTATCTGTCTCTACCTGAGCTTTCCACAGAAATTATACTTTTGAATACAGCACACGATGGCTTTATTGGGACAATTTAACTTTGTTCCTCAAAAAGTTCATTCGTTTGTTTGACAAGACAAAATATATTTTTTATTTCGTTTCCGAAGTGATTGTTGGTCCCCAACAAAAGCTATTGTGATCAACATTGGAATTATAGTTTTAGAGGTTATCTTTGAGCTGGATTGATGCCTTCACTTGGTTTGCTTCTCCTTTTGGATTAAATAGCACTGCCCTTCTCAGATGATAAACACACCCCTCCTCGACTCATCGCTGCTCATGGTTTGAGAGAAGTACTGCGAGAGCTTTTAAAAAGTTTTCATTTAAGGGATAACTTGAACTGGAAAACACAGCGGTCGAACGTTAAGCATGCGCAAGTGGTTCAATTTACCCAGCCGCGGGTCAATTTCCCGCGCAAAATTTCAAAGAAAACATAACCGTAAATTGAGTATCTTCTAAGAAAGCTGTTTTGCACTTTATAGGAACAATTTGAATTACGTTACAGAAGAATTGAAGAATCCCTATCGGTAAGTAATTTTTTGTACCTTGTCACTAGCTGTGGAACTTCTGCGCCATCGCGCTGGAATAACACAAATCATTCACTAATGGTATTTCCGTCAGGGTGCCTTTGGAGAGAGGCCTACATTTTGCAACTTAAAAAGCGCAATTTTTGTGAAGGAATACGCCAAATTTACAGGATGATAAAACATCGCGACTTCAACAATCGGGCCGATCAAGGAAGCAATATTTTTATCCCAGCTCTTTTTTTAATACAAGCTTACAGAGCAGTTTTCAGTTGAGTCAAACCAAAACCGAAGTTAATACATCGGCCAATGAGAAGAAAAGAAAATACCTTTAAGAGCCAATGGGAACTCAAAATAAAAAAAAAACAAACTGCCTAAAACGCGGGAAAACGCGAGCAACCAAGTCGTGATTAGAGGTTAGTTTTGTATCTGATTGGTGGAGAGATTGGAGCCAGTTTTCTGAACCAATCACAAGGCAAAGTAAAGCAAAACCAAAATAATCCCAGATTGCTTTTAACACTCAATTGAAAATTGCACCATACTCTTAAGGTATTAATTATTAAAAAAAAGAACTCTTTGTTGCCTCAAGGGACTTGCCGCTGTCCATATTGATTGGTATTCCACTTGTGACAGTTTGTTATGTGCTAGTAAATATCGCCTATCTGACCGTCCTGACACCTATGGAAATCATGAATTCCAGCGCAGTTGCGGTGGTAAGTAAAGGGGTTTATTTTTGGAAGGTTTTTCATCGTTGTTAATACATTTATTGTCGAGGCATTCAGTCTTGCGGAAAGTAATTGTTATTCCGCCAAAACGGGAAGCCGCCGGCCGCCTGCGCAGCAGGTTCCCGCCAAAACTCTTGAGTGTTGCAGGTACTTAAAAAGAGATACCTTACATTTTTCTTCTTTAAACCTCAGATGACTTCTGTTTGATTGTTTAAGGAAAATACGAGATATATCTTGCGGTAGCTCACAAGAGCCCTTGATTACTTGTTTAGTCGTTTATTTTTCTGCTTTATTCCAGACTTTAGCAGATCGTTTATACGGAGTGATGGCTTGGGTCATTCCCATATTTGTTGCCGCGTCCACTTTTGGTGCCGCTAACGGATCTGCCTTTAGCAGTGGAAGGTGATTTTGAGCTAAGCTGCTTTGTTTCGAATATCAATTCCTCTTCAAGAACATTTATTAAATAGATGGTTATCAGTTCTCCTTGTTAAGAAGCTTAGATGTATATCAACCCCAGTTATGCCGATGTGTGTAACTTACAGAAGGCTCGTGATTTACAAACTTTTCTCGCGTTCTCCCAACATCCCAAGAGGATTATTAAGCCGGTAATAAATAACGCGGTCTATTGAATAACCAGAATTGAGCAATATTTTTAGAGTTCGTACATTGTAATATTAACTTGAGCTGGTGCAAAGCACGGACAAATACGCGTCAATTTTTTTAAAATACGGTGAATTGATTTCTTTCTACAGACTTGTGTTTGCCGCTGCTCGGGAGGGTCACCTTCCGAAATTCCTTGCTATGATTCATACCAAGAGACACACACCCCTTCCTGCCATGCTGTTCACCGTAAGTTCAGAGCCTTCCAGAAAATAATAATTTTTCTTGCTTACAACTGGAAAGCCTACCAGACGAGTTTCACTTCAACTCTTCTCTCGGCGTTCATCACCGAAATTTTTAGCGTAACCTGAGTACGAACCAATAAAACCCGACAAATACTTATCTTTACAAAAAAATGCAAAAACGGAAATTAGCACATTTCTTGATTAACTTACCTATCTAGATGTATGTAACAAATTGATTACATGTTGCCGCGTGTCGGTTCATTAATGGTTCACAGATGACTTCAAAATTTGAACAAGTGGTATGCAAGAGCCAGACCAGCGTGTCACTGATGTTCTTACCACATTTGTGAAATCTTATCTGGTCTAATTCTGTACAGACGCATGGCAAAATGCAATCGGCTTGTTTTATATAATAACAAAGCAAAATGTTTATAATGGTGACGTCATCTATGCGTCTGACCTCTAATCGATCATTGGCTAGAACTGATCAATACCCGTGTATAATATTGATTTTGGATATATGAAATTCATATATTTGGACTGCGGTGAAGAAACGAATTTGAAGAGATCCTCGCAACTAAGAACACTACTGAACTAGTAGTTAAAAGTACGACCTGAAAAACAAACAAAAAAAAAAAAACAAATTCAGGCCCGTATGGATCTGATCTGCACCGGTATCGCAAAGGTCACGAACCCGTGTATAGTTCAAACTATCGAAAAATTAGATTTTTCAAGTCATCTCTGTTTTGATACTCAGTGAGGTGCAGGTGCCATCTTAAGCTTAAGATTGCATTAACAAGTAGTTCTTTATTTGGTTATTACAGAGTACCATTGCCTGGATTATGTTGTTACCAGACTCCAGTAGCTTTGAGACACTTATTAACTATTTCAGTTTTGCTGCCTGGGTTTTTTACGGTTTTACTGTATCAGCTTTGCTTTGGCTCCGGTATAAAAAGCCTGACATGAAACGACCGTATAGGGTAAGTCACGTGTATAAGATTAGTCAAATATAGGACCGAGGTTGAACAAGTAGGGGTCAGATTAAAGGGGTCAAGTAAAGCGTTAGTTAAAAAATATATTTATCGGAGGACCTCAAACGTACATAGATCACGTTAGCACAGCGGTCAAACGTAGGGCATGCGTCAGGAGATCAATTTTGGCCGCTTGCGCGCCATTTTCCCGCGTAAAATTTCAAAAGAAGCGTAAGAAACAACCGCTGTCTCGCAAACTAATCGAAAGAAACTTGAAACGTTCAAAGGGATTTGTAAATGGAAACACATGTGCAGACAAAATTATAAGTAGAAGAAGGATAAAGACCGCCTGCGACCTAACATGGAAGTAGTGAGCGCTGTAGAAGTGTACATTTTATTCTCGTAAGGTATTAGCGCTTTATCGTTTTGATAACTTCCATTTTTTTATGTTAGGTTCCTATAGTGATTCCGATTCTGGTTTTGCTGGCCTCCATCTACCTGATCGTGGCGCCATTCTACGAAGCTCCTTTGGAGTCTTTCTTTTGTCTCCTCTTCATCTTAACTGGAATTCCATTTTACCTTGTATTTGTCTATTTCAAGGTTGTACCTCAAAGTTTCTTCAAATGCGTGGGTAAGTTTACTCAACTAAATGCCAGTTTTAAATCTTTTGATTTCAATAACGCGTGACGCCCAACCGTTGAGTTGTTTATTTGCGGTTTTTGGACACACAATCTGTTCATTCTAGGCAGAAAATAGCAAATGCAGTGCTTGAATATTTATCTGAGTAGCAAGCAAAAAACTAATTTGAAACAAAGAACCCAAAACAACAAAATGAAAGAAAAAATGTAACTATTTGCTCTCCTTTCAGCGCGGTTGACGTACAAGCTACAGATGATTTGTGATGTTGCTTTTCCTGAATCGGAGGCTGACATGGTGGGAACATAAACTTCCCCTTAGTGAATGCAAGAATGTTATTGTAAAATCCAACCATCTATTTTCTCGATTAACAAACAGTAAATGTAGATCTCTTTCGAATAGTTACCATTCTTTATCTTCATGCAAATAAGTCTTCTAATTATTATACTTCACAGTACCGTATTTCCTCGATTAAGCGCCCAGGCGCTTATTTGAAATTTCGGCTCACTGGAAGGACGGTGCTTATTATTTGCCTGTTTCGATTCTGTTGCAGTTATTTGAATTTATTTAGTTGAAGCTTGAAAAGGTATATATAAAGTGGCAATGGGAACAGGTTTTCAGTGGCATTATGGCACAGAGGGTGGGTGCTTCGGGAGAGGGCTCCCTTTAGAGCATGGACGATTATTCGAGGAAATGCGAAATATTTCCTTTTGCAACAAGCGTGAAGATAGAGGTTTGTGTAATATGGGCATGCCAAAATACATCTATGTTTTTACAAAACCGTTTATTCCAAACAAAAATAAAATTATTTCAATGTGCTAATTTATTTCCTCTTCGAAATGAATATGGATATTTTTCTTAATTATGATTTTAGGACAAGATATATCTCAGTGAGATGCATTTACTTACAATATAAGCATGTATATGATTATAAATATATGAGTATAAATATCAGTTCAGTTGAAACGGTGAGTTCAGAAACAGTGGTTCTTAGAAACTTAGGGATTGCGTTTCTTGTTTTTCTATTCACACTGTTCTTTGTAACCTCGCTCAGGATGGATTTAGATTGTAAGACGCGCTTTACAAAAGGTTCTCCACTTATCGGTCACTTTGGTTTTGAATTTGTGAATGATCTACCCACGAGAGTGATTCACGCAAATTTCATTAATTTTGCTCTTGAATTATTTTTAAGGGGTTATGATCTTTAATAACAGCAATTATTTTTTAGTGTTTGTATCACTGATTGTTTAATATATTGACTTATTACATCCATTTAAACTCACTCATGATCCTTGCAAACTGATTGGCCCTCAGGAATGCGAATTAGTCACAAATCACACTGTTTTTTCCCCTAAATCACATCAACACTAGAAACCAACAACCAATCAGATTTATAGCCTTAGAGGTATTGAGATTATCTATGTTTGCTGGATACCCAGGAACAGTAAGTGATCCAATTATATGACTTTTTTTTATCAGTCAAGGTAAACCGTGTTCTATAGTCACAGGCAGAGCTCTATCAGAGCTCTTCCAATCAGAACCAATCAAGGCTTTGTTGCACATACTTTCCTGCCCTAGGGTGCTGGTCACCTGATTTCCTTGAATTTTGATTGGCTCATTGCATTGGGTACACTTGTTTTGACTAAAACTTTTCTTTGCAATTCAACAGTTATCTTAACGGGTATTCTTCTATAAATGCGAAATTAAGTTGCACTTGAGTGCTTGAAAACTGTTCCTGTGTTGCAAACTCTAGTTAATCATTATTCAGATCTCATGCATGCATTCCAACTTTACTTAATAACATATTCAAACAGACTATATGAGCAGAAATGTCATTGTTAGTGTATTTAGTATTTTACATTCAATAAATAATTTTGAGTGATAAACGTTTAGCCTTTATGTTATTTTGTTTCCTTTGAGTGTCTGTTTTAGGTCCACACATGCATTAGCATATTTTTGGTACCTTTTTAGTCTACGAAACCGAGTAGCAAATCTTTGCTCCAGAAAACTCACGCCATATTCATGACCAGACAGAGCCAAAGTTAAAACCATTCTATTTACATGCGTGAAAGTGGTTTTGGTCACTCTTTGTTCTGATTGGCTGTTGCGTATTCTTTTCAAGGGGGAGGGGGTGAGAGGTTTTAGAGGGGAACTTACCATGAGCATGAATAGTCTGTGAGAATTAATTCTGGCATGTGCGCTCAAGGACAAAAAAATATCGTGAAGTAAAATGCTATCTTGGTGTAAAATTTCAGGAGAGAAGGCATTGGGAAGGTTGCCCTTTTTGTGTGATTGTGCAGCTGTATCAGTCCTTAGCAGAGAGGGTTATTCATCAAAGTGCCTCAAAAGTACTTTAAAGCAGTGAGTAATATTAGCTCAGAATGCATGGAGGTTTCTCTCCAATGCAGGTTCTCACCTACCACCTTTGAAAACGCTCTTCTGTGAGGAAACGAGTTGAAAGATTTGGGGTGAACTTGTTTCACCTCGGGGAGAAAACTCGTAAAGCAGTGGGGTTAAATCTGCAGATTATGCCTTTTGTCGCAATGAGAACTCATGGGTTTTCAAAACTTCAAATTTCACTTGCAAAACTGAATTAGTTAAACATCACTTGCATTATTAAATTGAAGAGTTTTTTAGCACTAATTTAAATCATTTAACAATTTTTGAAATTTTATCTAGGATTCTAGCTGAAACTCATTTGCATTTCCTCGCCGATTTTCATACAGGAGCTAGAAAAATTTTACATTATTTGTGAGGTTTTCCCTATGTTCTTAATCTAGATGGGAGAGGGAGGCTATCAAATTTTTCAGCATGTTTTATTTTTTAACACTTGTTATACCAGTATCTGCATTTAACGATTAATTAACAGCATAGTGTACCTTAACTTAAATCCTGGCGAAGGATTACTTACAACTCTTAGATATACAAGATTTTTCAATAAATCTTTTGAACTTACTCTACTTAGAGCAGGTAAATGAATTCTTATGTGTAACTAATATACATTCATCCCAGCTAAACGTTCTCCACAAAGCGAGATGAGCTCTGACGTGTTACTAACGACTATTTTATAACAGTGGTTCTTTTTAAACGTAAGCTTTTCTTGTGTAGTAATTTGAACAGCAGCATAACCTAACTATCTCACTAAAGCTTCACTACAATTGATGAACTGATCAAATTGCAAAGGATATACATACTTGAAAAAGAACAAGTAAGCATTGTTCTCTCTTTCATATAAGTGTAGAGAGGTTTTTTCTAATAATATATGTAAATATCTCTAGATTTTCTTGACATAACAATTTTTTGTTCCAACAAAAGTTCAAACGTTTAACACTACCTGTAACAGGTATAAGAGCAGTTGTGAATCTATGATACTTTTCAGAAGTATCCTCCACAGTTCTTTAACACTTTGACTCCTAAGGGTGACTTGCAGATAATTTCTCATAACAATATCACCCCTGAATCAAACATTAGGTCCCCAGAATAAAGGAAATGATAAGCAACTTAACTTCTTAACTGTGACACAAGTTCTCTTGTCAAAACTACTGATGCATACTGACATTAAGGTGTAAAAGATTAAGAAGTGTACCAGCTGGAAAATAGTACAAAGTAACTGGAAAATAGTACAAAGTAACAGGAAAATGTACTATGGTTCCATGTTAAAAGAAAAAATAGCTAGAGGATTCTCTCCTATGGACACTTCTCATGAATGTCTTATTCCAGGTGTTACTTGCTAAATGTCAAATCTAATAATATTTATTCTATTCAATACTGAAGCCAATATTCTGCTGCATAAGTTAACTAATCCTAAGAATGGTTATGGAAATAAGGAGTGGTATTGCTGAAAGACATATGCTAGGTAAGTGGGCAGGGAGGCATTTAAACTCAATGATGGACAGAGGTACCACAAAAGTAACGTGTGTTGCCTAAGAACACACCACAATGACCCAAGTAGTACTCAAACATTTCAGTCTGAAGATAAGCCAACAAACCATAATGCCATCAGGTCTTCTGTAAATTGCCAAGCAATCACAGCATAGTAGATTGAATAATATGTTAACCCTCATCATCACCAGCTAACCTGCATTTTAGCAATGCCAAAGAAGAAACATTAACTACTGAATAAAATTTCTTGAGTTAGACTTGGACTGGAAGAGTGTCTGGATCCTCAAAGGCCATGTTTCCCACTCGCTGGCACCAAGAAGTGAATGCATCTGTAAAAGTGAGTAAAAGAGGAACATTTAGAAAATAGAAAGGGTTAATTAATTTTGAGTTGCATTTTCAAAATACCTTCAATATAGGTGTAGAAGGCTCCAGGCTCAATTTTTCAAAAAGTCCCTTTTGGCTATGTCAGTTGTGAAATAGTCACCATAAAAAAAATTCTGGTTGACATTCAAAGTTTATCTCAATAAAACAGTTCAATTTGATGGCTACTCATTTTAGATTTATGCATAGTTGGGAATTATGGAGTAATGAGAGGGAAAAGAGAAAGACGAGTTATTGACGTTAGTTTGTTTGATAATTGTACAAAGGATTGATAAGTTTTCCATGTTCCTTTTTTCCTTTTTCTCTTTAATTTTCTAAATTTGATGGTTGCCAATGTGCAACTTTTGTTGAAATTTTTAGTTGCCAAATATATTTTTGACTAGCAAAGGCAACCAAAATGGTTGCAGCTTGGAGTACTGGAGTATGAGAAAAAAATTAAGCTCTATAGAGTAGAAAAACATTAAAAAATGAAGGAAAACAGAAATGAGGACAGAGATGGCCAAAGATTGGAAGAGTAAAGCAGATTGCCAACAACCATCCTGGAAAATTTGGGCTTCATTTTTTCAAAATGGACAACCTGTGATTGTAGCCTGTTCAATCCTTTCACTCACAAGATATCAATGTATAAATTTTCCTTTTTGTCCGCTATGTATTTCTTCTACTACAAATAGTGAGAGTTGGGATTACATCAAATTATACCACTGTCTTTGTCCATCTGCCTGAAATTGTGCTGATATTGCACTAGGAAATTACTCATTGATTGCTTCTGGAAGTGAAAGGGTTAAGAAAAGGTGAAAAATTCAGTGTTGTGACTTACTCTCACAGAGCGACACTAAAATATCCCAATGAGTTTGAGAACGAAATTTAGGAGCAGAACCATCGCTAGTTTTTTTGCACAGCTACAGTAATCATCACATCGGAATTATAATACCTGCAAGGAGTACAACAATTCAAAACTGTAGTTCCTCAAGAAGATGAAGCCTTTACCTGCAGCATCAAGGATGAATTTTGGGGCAACATCACTGCCGATAAACAGCCAATAAAAAGGAAGACCTGCTACAATGACCGCCAGAGCAATGAGTGATCCCCAAGGATCAGTTGTGATTGGAGCCACCACCAGGTAAATAGAGGCCAGCAGCATTGAAATGGGTACAAGTAAAAAAATCTGAGAAAAAATAAAAAAGAGGAAGAAAATTAGTAAATTATGACATTCACTTCTCAAAAGCCCTTTTCTAAGTTTACACAAGTAAGAGGTCTGGTGCTAAAAATTAAGGCTTGAGAATGAGGCTTAGTGAGAAGTGGCTCTCAATGGTATGAAACATAAAAAGGCTGTGCTATTGAAAAATTGATGCCTGCCCAAGACTTCTCAAAATGCAATGTGGGCTAGTAAAAAATTGTTTGAAAGAGAGAGGCATTCAGTTATGTGATATAGGCAAAGGAAAGGGAAGAGCAGATTTGATACAATGAACAGAAAATTCCCCTTAAGAGTTTTTATTTTTGGCACTGTCAGGAGCAACTTTGCTCTTAGCCTTATTCTTGAGCCCTAATTTTGGCACCATATTTCAGACACATGAGAACTAGGAAATGGGCTGTTACGTGTTGTAAATCAAGCCAAGAAAAAATCATCATTGTTTCACACAGTTTATTCTAGAAATTGGCCAATGAGGGGCAAATGAGTCCTATCAGTAATTTTAGGGAGCCTTTTTCAATGCTGTCATCTTGAAACAATCCAGGCAACTGAAAAAGCCTGGATCCTTGGGTCTATTTTTTTTTTTTATTTTGCTCCCCATTTGATGCGGCAACATAAATTTTATGCAGCATTTCTTTCCAATTTGTGGAAATCCTGTAAAGCTGCACTCTAGAATAAACCTTGGTTGAAAAATAAGAAATAAACACCCAGTGAGAAAGACAAGGTGTCTAAAAACACTAATGTTTGTGAAAGGATGGCTCAAGTTTATAAAGCAACTACAAGGCTTTAAGACTATGGTTTACTGTCAACAATTATTTTATACCCTTTCTGAAAGTCCAATGTAAATATAAAACTCCCTGTGAACCAAACAAAATTGTTGCTTTGATAGGAAAAATAACCACTGCCAGACCATTATAAAACAACTCAGAAAATAAACCAGTTTTGCCTTCACTTTTTTCTAAACATCTCACTTATAGAAGTTCTTTTCACTTCCAGGTGTTGATAAGTGAGCTTACCTTGTAGGGTCTGTTCATGTTTGGTCTCTTGTATCGCAACCAAAGAAGAGCTGCAAATGTTCCCCCATAAAACAGCCATGCCGCAAAGCTAAAGAAATCCACCAAACTTGAAAAGCTGCTTGCTTCTGGAATCAACATGATCACAGAGATAAGAGTCTGGCGGAAATAAAAAAAAGTAAAATTTTAGTCATATAACAGAAAAATGACAAAATAATCTGACTTGTGCATACGACCAGGCAATGCTGATGGTGAACAGGGGAAGGAGGGCTAAGCTTCCTTTCAGGTTCTCTTCCAGGGTTGGCAAAATATGCCACACAAAAAAAAAACAGCAAGTGCCAGCTGGATCTTGGCTGGCTATTGTTTGGTAAAGGAAAAAGGGTACTCTATCCTTGAGCTGCCTCGTTTGAAATTTTGGCTGGCAGCCTAATTTTTTAATACTACAGAGACTGAATAGGGAACAGAAATTGGTATTGCTTCAAATTCTTATTTTTTAGAAACTGAAGAGTCCGGAAATTAGAATTTTTGCTGCATTCATGGTAAGGCTCATGTTTAGTGATGAAATTGCTGATTCACTCACCGTGAAAAACAGAGATGGGAGAGGGGTAAATCTTTTAACATGAATCATGGCCAACAGACGAGGCATTAGTCCATCTCGTGCAGCAACAAACACCAGCCTAAAATAAAAAATAGCATTTGTGAAGTAAATCAAGAGAAGTATTAAACTTACGGAAAGAATAGCTTATTGCTCCTCCAAAATTGCCCAGTTTAATGGTTCATTAAGCAATAGATTTCTTACCAATCAGAGGGTAGGTGTGGGTCAGTTATTTCATAACAACACATATCGTGTGAATGAAAAACTGTCAAAAAACAGTAGTATAATTAAGCTGTTTAAGTACAACTGAAACTTACCTCCCACTAGTAAAAAGAAGGCCATTTACAGCTCCAAAAGTTGAACATGCAACAAAGACAGGAATTATCCAATTAACTGGACCAAGGTACAAGTTTCCAACACTCTATAGAAGTAATATAGAAAACATCCTAACATCAGTAAGCGTAACAACCGCTAGTCTTCTCAGTATAAACAATGCTTTAATAGAACAAACTTCTCTCCGACTCGAGCTGACAACGTGGTAATGCAAAGTGTTGCTAATGCGTATGTGCGAACTGAACTATGTTGCAAATCTCGGAATACTGGACTGGATATTACAGTAAGCATAATCTCCATACTGTTCTTTGTACATTTCCTGAGGTGCTACAAAGGAGAAGGTTTAGAAGCAAACAATTTTGAAAGGAGACAACATAATAGCCAGCCTTTGGTCTCAAATGAAAACTTTTGTATACACTAAACCATTAAAATCCCCACACATTAAACTTACCACAGCCACTGCATCTGATGCTAGGATACCAGATGCTCCCAAGACCGTAATATATGCCACATTGACCAAAAGGTAACATACAGTTGTGAGGGAGATACCAATCACTATTGCCCTCGGCATATCCCTGAAAAGTACCATTTAAAGAATGCCATACTGATCAATTCAATAGAATACACTTCATGTTTATGTTTATCGATGTTGAGCATAATGTAACAATGCCTCATTCATAACACTGTAACAAGAAAACCTGCAAATTTGGTTGCAAATTCTTACATACTGGATGTTTGCTTCTGTAGGTTTCTGTATCTGCATTTCATTTTACTTTGTATTTGAAAACTTGAAAACTATCTTCAAACTAGGAGCAGAAACTTGAAACCTTTAGGACTGATGAACTGAGAAACATTCAACAAGCACTTACTTTTCTGGCCGTTTCATTTCCTCTGTACAGTAGTTGAGGTTGTTCCTTTTAATTAAAAAAAAATCACGCAAATTAATGTTAGGTCATTAAACTCAATTTTTTAGTACAATCACATGAGTTCCAATTAAGTTTCTTATAATTTCATAAAAAGCACTTATACTCACCATCCATCGTACGCCCACAGACCCAAGTAGAAGGCCATACCAATCTTTCCAATATTTGTTGTGGAGCCTTCAAAGCTGTTTTTAAAGCTCTCTGTCTTTCCTAAATGAAAACCATGAATAGAAGTTTTAATTTAGACCTGAGATAATTGTAGCGATTTAACTGGGGTGTCTTAAGGACATGTAATCAGTTTGTCCTATGCAAGTACTTCAAGGGGAAAAGGTTTTTAACCCTTTCACTTACAAGATCCTGTTAGTGACCCTCCTTACTGTCTGCCGCACAATTATGATGATGTGAGTTTGGAGAATTTGGTATTGGATCAACTAACAATCCCCTTGTTGATATTTCTATTTTTTCTCATCACTTCTCTGCCTGATATTGTATTAATAATGAAAATGAAAATTCCCTCTTGGTTTCTCACAGGAAACAGAGGGTAAAAAATATTTCCTTGAGAGATATTTAAATTCCCCACTTAGTTTTAGCACATTGAGACCTGATAAGCTATATTTTTAGATTTGGTACACAAAGTTCATTGCATGTGTTTTGGTATCTACACATTTGGAATTACGATTGATTGTGGTTGAGATTCTATCTTTACAGTGTGTGTCTGCACATCTAGTTACTAATTTTAGGATGGTTCACGATAAGGTTTTTTCAAAATTGAAGCAATCAATAATGACCACAAAAGTAGGGCGTGACAGAGGATATTTTAAAAATATATGTATAAGTATTTGTGCTGTAAGGGAGTATCTAATGCTGAAAAAGATATAAGCTAAATAACATTTAGATTGTTTCACATTTTCACCAAGGTCTGTATAATTTTGACTTAAAACAAGGAAGAAATTTTCTGCCAAAAGGGAGACACAGGCACCCCAGGAGCTCCTAGTAATGCTCCAAAGTGACTTTGAACCACATGAACCAATGTGGACAAGAGGTGAAACATCCTGCTTCAAACAAACCTTTTCCCAGTTCTACAAATCCAATGATTGTGATCATTACAATACAAAGAAGCTTGGCATATGTGAAGATGTCCTGTATCCTTACAGCCCATTTTACACTCCAGCAGTTTATAACCAAGAGGATCACTAAAACCAGGAAAAAAAAACAAAAATAAAAATATTGAATTCTGTAACTAAAATATTTGAACTAAAATTAATAATTTGCAGGTCTAAGTTTGCAAATGAGGGTTGCAAAGATCACAAGAGAAGATTGGAGTCAGAATCTATCAATTTTTTGCACTTTTTTATTCCAACCAAGTATCAGCATAAAATAACAGTTGTTGTATTCAACTGTCAAACAGGAATCAGCAAAGTTACATTATTACCAACATTAAAATAAGAAAACTTGGGACATTTAGGTCTAAACAAAAAAAGGAAAACTCACTAATCTGTAAGACCTTATTCCTGAGTCATAAGATTTTCCCTTGTATTTTAACAAAAATAACTGTTACTGACAGTAAATTACAGTTTCTTCCCCTTCTTGTACCCACTCTCTAAGTATTTGCTAGCTAAGATTGGCTTTTAAAATAAAGGGGCGCAAAGACTCCCACACCAATTCGAACTAAATTTGTATCAGAAGAGTGCAGAAAAATTATCAGAGCACAACTGAACTATTTCAAATTTATTTAAGGGTGCTTTTGATTCTCTGGGTATATTTTTATTGCTTGTGAGCCACAGATTAATCGGAAAATGTTGTGCTATGTCAGCAGGGAAGTGAGACACCTGGCTCATGATTAGCCATGGATTGATAAAGATAGATAAATGAATGCCGCAGTACCTTTTTACAATTTGCTGTGTTGATTTATTGATCTTAATCAAATTCTGGTCAATTGTCAACTTTCTAGAAGCACGTATATGTAGATTACTGAAACCTCAATATTATTTATCACTTCAGCAAAAGATACAAAAACTTATATTTATTAGGAGTATATTGAAATTGGTAGAATCCAGTCATAATATTATCCTCTACCAATAAAACTACAGTCACATAATTTGCTTATCTTGGAAATGATACGCCTGCTTCACTCTCATTTGGCACATTTTTTAGTTTCCTTTTAAGCCTTGTGTGTGGACTTCTAGGAACTAACCCCTACTGTATATGCATTTCCCTAACCGTCTTTTGTTATAGACTTTGAATGCTTTGTGTTTGAGCTCAAGGGGCTTTTCTGCCATTGTATGCATCATGCTTAAAGAAAGTCCAAGAATCATACCATGAGCAAAATGAAATACTAACAATAAAATGGTATTTTCTAACAAATTTCACAGCTGGAAAAAGCCTGAAAAGTAATAAACTGCAACTGTTTTCAACCCTGGCTAAATCTATAGATTGGCAATTTATTTCTGTCTTTTAATCTTTGTGGTTTTTCATACAATTAATTTATCTTAGCTCTAACAATTTTCTACCTTTTGAATCAGTCCCTCTTTATTGATGAACAATCTTTTAAAATTGTTTCCCACCTTCAAAATGATATTCTTAAATTTTACACCCTGAGCAATATATAGGAAGAATTGGCAATTAATTGAAAAAAAAGCCAATGGTATTTTACCATAATTAGAGCTTTTTATGTCTAGGATATCTAAGCAACACTGAAACGTTAAAGTCTTGATATATTTTAAGTTTCCTTGTGCGACCTTGAACAGCCCCCGTAGAGCAAATTGCTCAGCAAGGTGCACTGATATTTGGGAAAATAGAAATTGGTCCTTTTAGCTTAATTCATCAAATTATAGGTATCCAATTTCGAACGTGTTGTCTGATATCAGAAATAGTAAAGTCAATTCTTGAACGATATTGAAACCCGCGGTTTTCATATTGGGTACTGTAACAATTCATCGTGGAGGTCGAATCATAAATTGGAGTCCAATTAAAATTTTCAAGGATCGATCTTAAAATTTCTTTAAGTTGCGTTCACGTTGCTCTCAATAATCCAACATCAACTCTAGAATGTCCCTAGCGACGAACTTACATTTGGAATAAATGAATATCAAATTACTACACATGGATGATGCAATGCAATCGCGTGAACCGCCAACCTTTGATTTAAGTTTACAACTACAACCAAAACAAGGCAGAAGTTCTCCTGGGATTTCGAGACAAAAAAATTCAATGAATTTAATTACATGTTCTCCCTACGAATATCAGGCGACAATCATTGAATTGACGAAAGTCAACTGCCATGATCGAGAACGAAAAATCCAACCACGTGCGTTGGCATGCAACACGAATGCTCTAAAGGAAGGATCGCTTTGTTTTCGTGATGAAAGATTAAAATCAAAATCTTAAGTTTACAGGTGAACGGCTTCACACCAGTTTTAACTAGCTTTGCGAGTTTATAAACAAATTTCTAGTTTCGCTTACAAAAAATGAAATCCCGCCAAAACAGGACACGTAGAACCACGCTTTGAGCTGAAATGGTCACAAGACTGATTCTACGAATGGAAGCACCATGCGATTCTCCTTTCTTGGCGAGTAACTCGAAACAAAAGATTTTAAACTAGGTCAGCTCTTAATGTTAAGAAGAAAAAAGGGTTTAAAATCTTACCAAGACAAGAACAGGCCAAAAGCTTCATGAGGTACGCCGGGGCTTCACAATCTGGGTAAAATGGCTTCGAGACGTATTCAGCAAAAGTGAGAGCGATTATGGCTCCTGATGCCGGCCGTATAATTAACACAGAGGTCCAGGCGAACAAGAAAGCAGGGATCCTACCAAATGCCTCCATAAGATAGGAATATTCACCACCGGATTTCTTTATACAAGTTCCCAACTCGGCGTAACACAAGCTTCCGAACAAAGCTAGCAAACCACATCCGAGCCAAATCAGGAGAGAAGCACCGATCGAATTTGTTTCCTCGAGGATACTTGTTGGCGATACAAAAATACCAGAACCGATCACTGTGCCTACAATAAGGCCCACTCCATTGATAAGAGAGACATTCTTTCTCAGTGCAATTCTCTGTTCGCCATTCTCTTCCTCCAAGAAAGGCTCTTTAGTCTTATCGAGGGAATTCGACTGGTCTAAGCTCTCGCTCGAGGTCGATTCGTTGGCAAGCTTCTCACCAATATCAGAATTAACAACGGGAACAGGAGGCATTGTAGAAGATATAAGAACAACTACGATCAACTTCTTTCCTAATCTCCTCACTAGCGTGCGTTTCAGAACACAACTCAATGAATGAACATTACGAATAAGGAAAGCGCGCCTTTTCAAGTTCGATAGCAAAACAGTGATGGTGATTGGTTAATAGAACAAAGAGAACTTGTTAAACCAATCAAATTTGAAATAGAATGGCGCCAAAAATTCTTGCGTAAGTCAAAAAGAAAACACGAGCGCAGCACGTGGAGCGGTATCGACAGAGACTACCTCCAGCTGCAAACAAGTTGATAAAGCTGGGTTCAGTTTTAATATTGCATGTCATTAGGATGCCAGGAATACAATAAACTAATATTGTAGACCAATGGATTATAGATATACACATTAGACGAGGTTAGCGGCTCAATATTGTGCGATCAAACGAAGAAATTAAATCCCAATTTACTTAAATGACTGTATAATGGTCGCAAATATAATATGTCTCGTTCGAATTGAACAGCGAGTACTAATTTCAGTTTAGTGTTCCATGACGGTCACCAGCTGCCTTGTTTCAAAATGAGTGGGCTACTGATACTTTAAAAATAAGTGTAGGGCCCAATCGCAAACGTTGTATCTTTTGAGGGCGATAGCCTTGGGTTGCTTCAAGTGATAAGTAAAGAGCTTTTCAGTATCTCAAGAGTTCAAAATGTTATTATATCTAACACTCATCTATTAAAACCGATGAGAAAAAAAATAATTTTTCTGAATTCTGCTGAATTATCGTTGGAACCCTGACCAAACGTGTCGGAGAAATTGACGAACTGAAATGAGAGAAACTAGAAAAATTAGCTAACTGAAACCAATACAAGAAAATAACCGGTATCCGCGTTTACTTAACAATGTGATATCAAGACCAGCTAGCATGGTGAGTCCGAAACCGAACAAACAAGGTTTTGCCCTCAAGCGTACCCGTTTCTAGAAAATATTAATATAATTCTTAGCCCCTAAATAGAACACATTAATTGGTGGTTTCAAATGGATAGTATAACCTTTGAGCTTGCCACCATAAAAAGTAAAAAGGACTTCATATTAGCCCTTAGGAAGCTAAGCAAGCTTTTACATGAGTCCCACATCTTTTCTGATACGTTAACAATAAAAAGAACCTGTGTACCGCGAACATTTCACTTTCAAGAGAGACATTTCACTTCCACTTCTGAGAATTTGATGGTAAAGCAAACAATATCCCTTTAGATATTTTTCTTTCCTCGTATCACCTTCTTATTTGAAATTGCATTGATATCATAATTAGAATTTCCTTATTGATCCGTCACTTCTTGGATTGAAAGTGTTAAACTGATGCAGACTCAAGCACCTCCGTCACAGGATATATACACACGATGAGGTTCACTCCTGCAAGGGTCTCTAAACTATCGTAAGCAGATTAAAGGTAACTTTTGGTTCCAAGCCGAAATTAACGGCTGAGAAGTGAACGATGAATGAAGGAGGTAAGTTTCTAGAGAAACAAAGCGCTGCGTCGGTGGGAGAGTATAACAGGGTAATTTAGTATTATCAACTGAATTGATAACGCAGATTAGCCATCGTAAAGAGTTTAGAAGCTGAAGTTTCGAGCGTTACACCCTTCGTCAGAGCGATGGGAGGAATTGTGGATTGTGAGAGAGTTTATATGCAGAAAATGGAGCTACGCTATTGGTGGGAATATAGTGACGAGAAAACAAGAATAAATTAGTTGAATGAAAAGTGCTCGTTGATATCGTGGGGATTAAGAGTGCCGACTTGAAAGATAAATTTTTTGTTCTAGAGTTTTGCGGCTTTCCGAACTGCCTAGATGGAGGGAAAGGCCTAAAACTGCCTTATGCTGCTTCGAATGATTAGGGAGATTAAATTGCCTAGCGATTGATTTGGATGCGCGCTTGTCATTTCTTTCTACTTTGCGAAGGTGTTCTCGGAATCGGTCACCTAGTCGTCTTCTTGTTTCACCAATGTATAACTTTTTGCAACAAGTGCAAGTTATACAATAAATGACATAAATGTAATCTTTGTGGATCTCTTGGGTCCCGATATTTTCTCTACGTTATGAATGAAAGGACAACGCATCGTGAGCGAGCGCATTTGAACGTTCCAGGTTGGTCATTGGTTTGAAATGAACTTCCAACCAAAAAGTTGCCTGTGTTCAGTTTTGTCACGTTTGAATGAAATAAGTGGAGGTTGCGAAAAGATAGTACCAATTTCTGAATCGTTTTGAAGTAATTTAACCCTTTAACTCCCATGAGTGACTATAACAGAATTTCTCCCTATAATATTAATACAATATCAACCAGATAAGTGAAGGGGATAAAGAAGAATACCAATTTTGGGTTAATTAATTGATTCAATACTAAATTCTCTAAGCTAACATTATAAGAATTGTATGGCTGACTATAAGGAGAATTAAAAATTCGATCTGGGAGTTAAAGAGTTCAGAGCTAATGTCAGCACGCATTAGACAAACAGTGGCAAGTCACCCAAAATTTTCTTTCACTCTTACTTCCATATTTTGTAGCCCAACATTTTATAATAATTGTGGTGTAGTTTTTCTATGAAAATATAAATTAGTTTTCGAGAAATGATTTTTTTCGTTCGATCGCTCAAATATGCAAATTTTCACCCTGAATATTGCCCGTGTTGTGTGACCTCATGTAATGAATAAACTTGACCTCCAGTATTTCTGTCAACACAATCCTTTGTTTTTTATCATCTAAACTTAATCCCCTGTTATTATTGAAGCTGGCAAAGAAATATTTATTTTTTTGGTGAATATTTTTGTCCGACAATTCCTACGTCGAAAAGTAACATCAAAACAAAGACAGTTTTAACAATGCCGATATGACAGAATCTACTGTGCTTCGAGTTATGGTTAATAAGTTACTGTAAAAATTTCCTTGTGTATTTGTGTTGTTCTATCTTGAGACGAACTCAAAGCTCGGCAAAATTTACTTTCTAGCGACTATGAAATATACATGGTGTGCCTACTTGTCGCCATCGTTTACTAGCATAAATCACCACAATTTGGTAAAAAATCTAACTTAACACTCTTACCTTGTACATTTATAATTTTATGAGCTTTTTCGATGATCACGTTACGCTTTACCACATTCTAGCCAGATTTGAGTTCCAGTTTTTATATCTTCTCCATCTCATCATATCAGTTGCATGACGAGCGTGACACATATTCTATCAATCTCCGAAATACCAAGAGATACGTTTTTTTCCTCTTTGTATGATATCTAGAAAAACCTTTCAAGAGCTACTGCATTTAGAAAACTACTGAAAGATCCATCAATGATTCCTTTGCCGGCCGAAGTCAAAGAATGGTTACAAAAGTCAATTTGATTGACAAGCTACATACCGATTTAGCTAATTATCTGTTGTGTAAGCGTCTCATCTTAATTGCTAACATGGAGATTTGCTGTTCATTTAAATCGTTCGCTGGTGGAACTTGTGGGTTTAGTTATCGAGAAGAACGAAGTTGCATATCTCGAGTCATTCTCTTTCATGGTTGTTAAAAGACATTTCAAGTCACTTGCGGAGTTGCAAGTTTTCAGATCCAGAAAATGAAGTTGATCTTATTTTGTCGCTTGCCAGTGTCCCAGAGGATTTGGACCCCCCCAACAAAACTAAGTGAAAACATCATCCTTAACATTCTAGTACAAATGGATGATACTTTACGTTCCAGTGCGTACTAAAGTATGTTTTTAATTCAAAATATGCGTATCGTTAATGCATACGAACTGACATCCCGTCGGATGTTTCTTTTGACCAAGGGAAAATGGGCAAGAATTTAGTTAAATGTCTGGAGAGGGGTCATTTTTGAACCTTTTCCGCGATAGTCGAACACCGCTAGATTCAATAAGAGACAAACTTGTGACACTAATTTATTTTGTCATCGTTCGATTGCCCGAGTGTTTGGACGACATGATACAATGCTAGTTGTGCGAGGAATGGTTACACAGGAGCTGCGAGGGATTTAAGACCGCCCCGGAGGGCGAGTGGCTCTGCATTGTCTGCAGATCGCCAGACTCTAGACGTCTTCGCAACTGTTAAGGTGTTATTTCGGAACCCTCGACAGTTAATAATCGTTAAAATTAGAAAATAAGATTGAGTTCGATGTAATAGTCTCCACTTTTGTTAAGACGTTGACAGTAATGTTGATCTGCATCTGAAAATAAGCTGAGAGTTCCAATAGTTCAGAATAGAAACATTTTTACTTATAATAGGCTTTACGAACGACTTGTAGTAGTTTCTTCGTTTTTGTTCAGAAACTGTTAAATGTTATTATTTCAGAAAATCAGACTGAGTTATTTTTGTGACTGGACGCAATAGTCTCCACTATTGTTATGACGTTTAGTACCAATGTTGATTCGCATCAGAAGAAGCAAAGATTTATTGTAACAATTTCAATAGTTCGAATGCAGTAGTTTGTTCACATCTAATTCTTGCGTATACTGTACGACTCGTTATAATAAATGCGGTAGAACTGAAACGAAATCGCTGAGTTTTTTTACCTTTATCGAGGAGTGTTGGGTTGTGATGGAAAAGAACATCGACAAAAAGCTTGCAAATAAAATTAGTTACCAAATATGATACAAAGGATGCTTAAAATGAAACTTTGTTAGGGTGGTCCAAATCTGCGAAGGGGGGGTCCATATCCGTTCGCGGATTTGGACGGGGTGGGGGTCAAAATCCGCGGGGGGTCCAAATCCGCTATGACACTGGTATCTTCGAGACGCTAACAGATATCGATGATTTTACAATTTGCCCCACACATATAGATGTTGGGTAGAGTTGTGGTTCCAATAGTAGATGTAGAGTGCCTAAAGAGGTGTCCGGCCATTGCAATGGTAAGGTTAAGTCGATTCCAAAAGTCGATAGGGGAATTGGCAAGCGTGTATCACAGGTAGCACTCATGATATCTGGAAAATTCATACAGCCTGGCTCCGGTAAGTAGGCTACTTACCACCGTGAGCAAAATTACGCGCTCCGTCAGACTTAAGTCTCGATTGGGAATTGGTCAATAGCCTACCAAAAATCCAGACAGAGGCGGAGTTTTCTATACTAATGTCTGAACATCCCGCCGTTTGGCGGGACGCGTTATTATGCACACGGTGGTAAAGGGCCCTTCCGCACAAGCTACTAGACGCTGACAAAACTTGTTTC